AATTGCAAAAGTAATTTCAAGAATCTTAATAAAGTACTAGCATGACTGCTTAAGTTAAAAAAAAAAAAAAAAAAAATATTATTATTAAAAATTTATATTATTTTTCTATTTAGATTTTCTTAAATAAACTTTTTGTTTTTTAATTTTTATAAATTTATATAATTAGACCTTTGGGTAGATAGCATAGTGATTAGCATTTCTGGATCACAATTACAAAGTTACAGGTTCAAATTTAACTAGAAGACAAGACTTGGCTAGGACTATAATTGAAAAATGATTATTAAGAGGATTCCTATAATAAAAGACAAAGACTATATATTTGAATACAGTTAGTGGCATAACTATAAGGTTAAAACAACTAAATAAAGTATAATCTATTAACAAAAGATGCTAAAATTGAGTAAATCTAGTTTAAAAAAATTAAATATAGTAAAAACATTAACAAAATAGGAAAAAAAACTACAAGGCTGTAGTAATAAAAAACTGCAGACCCCATTAGGGTCCTATATCACAGAACCAGAAACCTGAGATATTACTAAGATAATAGACTTATTTTTACATAGTACAAAAGAACTAGAGAACACTACAGATAATGTATATAATAATAAAATATATTTACTTGTAGGAATTAAATAATATAGAAACTACTAACTATCTATTAATCACTACTAAATAATAATTCTGGCCTTAAAAGAAGTAAAAAATTATAAAATATTTAAGAACTTTCTGGATAATGAAAAAAGATAAAAATCAAAAAAAAAAATTTATATGATCATAAGAACTTATTTTGAGTTTGCACTACCTGATATCAGTTTGTATTCCTTTGTATAACTAGTTATATAGATGTTTATAATCTGTTAGTTATATTAATATGAATACAATACAGATATTTTAATTTAATTATTAGAAACAGTTGCTATAATACAAATATTATATAGATAATTGTTTAAATTTTTATTATTAATAGGTTTTGAACACCTAACTTATTACTTAAAGAGTTGATAACTTATTTATTTTACTAAATTACTATATCTTTAATTTTACTAATTAATTCTAATATAGAATTAGATTAATTAGAGTATAGAGATAAAACCATATATTATTATTTTAAATTTATTAATTTTAAAAAAAAATAATCATAAAATGTGATGACTTAATAAAGTGAATAAATTGTTAACCTTTCAAGTAATAGGTTGAATGTTCAAATTCTATCAATGATAAAAATTTAAATAATTACCTATATAATATTCATATTACAGTAACTGTTTCTAATAATTAAGTTAAGATACTTATAATAACAATTATATTAGTATGACTAGCAAATTATAGTGCATTTGTGTAAGTATGATATTATACAGAAAAATACAAACTAGTATTAGGTAATATAAATTTTAAATAAATTCTTATAACTATATAAATTTGTTCTTCCGTGATTGGTTGGGATAAGATACCTGTAACCTGTGTCATAGCAGCATGACTGGAAGGTCTAAGGCACTCGTACAATATTGTATGAGGGAACACAAACCGATACCGGGCAGTGTGAACCCAAAATAAGTCCTTAGGCTGTATAAATCAAGAGAACCAGGTAAGAAGATAGAAGCCCACTTGGAAGACCTAAGTAGAGAAGTAACTCAAACCTTTGACAGTGCTACTGTAAAGACTAGACTTATAAAACGAAGCTAGAACTTGTAAAACTGGACAAATGTGCTGGTCTTTGAGGAGGGACCAGATGAACCAACCAGGCTGCCAAAATTTCTGGATTTTGAAGAAAAAGGGCACATGCTAGCAAACATGTGAACCAGAGGTGTATGATTTTGACCTACCTTTCTGGGTTATCTGAAATGACAGCTTGGTGGAACTTGAATTGAATACCAAAGTAGTAAGGATATGTTGTGAAGTCAGTATTTAGGTTGAGGTAAACTTTACAAGAGCATAGCGGTTTAATGGTATGCCCTAACTGCCAGTGTTGGTCTTGGCCATAGCAATATTAGGTCAGCTATAAGAATAGGATACAGAAGATTCTGAAAGGTTTAGTACAAGGTTAAAGGTTCCTTATATGAGTGAACTACTTTAAAGACTTAGTGACCATGGCATATTTGAACTGGTATCGACCAGGGCATCTTGGTAAGTGTAGGTAGGTGGGTGGATACAGGAACAGAGTAGTTAAATAGGGAACCTACAAGCAGGTTCCAGATATGGTAGCTAGTGTAGAACCTTCAGGCAGACTACTTAAATTAGACAATGACTAAAGTTAATGAGTAACTAGTTGTACACTTTTTTCATGGTTGCCCCCTATGGTTGTAATGCAACCATTAGCTGAATGTACTATCAATAAAATCTCAGGTCACAAGTACTTATCTTAATATTTAAAAAAAAAAAAAAAAAAAAAAAAAAAAAAACTATATAAATTTGTTGAAATCAAAAAACAAAAAATCTATTTAAAAAGATCTAAATAGAAAGATGACAATGTTATTGTAAAGACTAGTTTTAGAAAACAGATGCCAATATTAAAATACTCAAACAGACAAGAATTTTTAGATAAGATATTACTAATTAGATTACTAATACAGATCTAGGCTAATCTGAAATATCAATAGTCTGATTATAGTTTTATTGAACTATTTGAATTAGAAATCTAAAAAACAGGCAAAGATATACTAAAGTAATTTGAATATATTATGAAATAAATATTGAAGTCTGAGTAAATTTTACAAAAACATAGTAGTTTAATAACTAACTCTAATTACAAGTATTGGTTTTATTATAATAATACCAGGTTATCTGTAAAAATAAGTACAGAAGACTTTGAAAAGTTTATCTTAAGGATAAAATAATCTTAAGTTGAGATGATGACCTGAATATTACCTAATAATATTAATACAAGCACAAGTTCAAGAGTTTAAAATAGAATACTTAAATAGAATATTAGATATAGCAATTAGTAAAGAACCTTCAAACAGACTTCTTAAATAAATAATATTAAAAGTTATATATGTAACTAATTGTACATTCTTTCTGTAGTAGTTCATAGAATCACATTACCAAAAAAATATTAATACAAGTCAAAAGACCAAAGAGATTACCTTAATATCAAAAAAAAATCATACTAAATTTTATAATTTTGGATTTTTTATTATGAAACATCATTTGACCTAAAAAATAAAACACTTTTAAGACCTAACTCCAGAACATCATCTGAACCTAAGAGCTAGAAAATTATAAATTAATTACTACATTATTTATTAAATAAATCTGAGATCAAAAACACTTAGAATCTAATTCCAAAATCTAAGAACTAGAAAACTATAAATTAATCATTATATTATTTATTAAAATAAATAACTACATAATCTGAGATCTAAAACACTTAGAACCTAGCCCCGAAGCATTGCCTGGGCTTGAGAGCTAGAAAACTATAAATTAAATATATACTATATTATTTATTAAAATAAATAAGTACAGATTCTAAGAGATCTAAAACACTTAAAACCTAACCCCGAAGCATCACCCGGGCCTGTAAGCTAGTTTACAGCTACACAACAAGCACGGCATATTAATGAAGTGCGGTAATCAAATTTTTTTTAAAAAAAAATTCAAATACTCTTTTTTTATATTAAATATTAACAATGTAAAACGTCATCTACCAATCATTTATTAGAAAAATTCTGCGTGAGCAGGCAGAACTGCGCCAATAGCAGAATTCTGCGCAGATTCTGCCACCGCAGATTTCTGGACACTCTACTGCCCATGACATAAGGGTACTCATAACTGATGATCATGAATTTAGAGTTTTCCATCTTTGTGTGGTACTCTCACTTTATATGCGTGTCTGGACCCTTAATTAATAAGCATTATCGTTATTCAATTATTATTATCGTTATGCGTAATATAAATAATACGTAATCATCTCACCGGTAATCATACACCAAGTTAAATTTACCAAAAATATACACCTGCAACTGATCACCACCTCATTGGTGACAATCATTTAATGTACGTATAAGAGGTCAATTATCTGTGCACGCATATTGCAGAAATATTCCCAAAAACTCTTCCGGCAAGACACAATGTTAAAATTATTTACGAATGTTATCAAAAGGAAAAGTTCTCAAGACATAAATATATCCAAATATACAACAAGGGATCCAGCAAAAACTCCTAATGCTTCAAACAGCCATTTTGTTGTTCCTGAGGAAGAAAATGGGGATTTCAATGTAACTAGTGAAGTTGATAGTTACGAAAAATACAAACTTACACATACCGATGAAACAACGTCATTAACAGATAAAGCAGGAGGTACAACAGACCGTAAACGCCCCATATCGATGCGCAAAGAAAAAACATTTTCTGGAGTTTTTCAACCCGAAAGAGGTACAATCATACATTCTCGTCTTTATGGTTCCCCGGAGTCAGTTACGAGACTGTCAGAATTTTTAAGCAGCAATGTTTATCAGGGTCCCTTAACTTATCTTGTGCGAAAATTATCCGCACAAAGTGATATCGAAGTTCTTTACCCAATCGAAAATGTTAAAGTAGGCGAAACGGCAAAGAAAGAACTCCAAGGAATTGATCAAAAACAATATACAACATCACAGAATTGTAAAGATACTTATGAAAACGATCCAGTTTATCATACGATTTATTCAAAGCATATAATACCATCTAAAACTTCTCTTTATCGTAGTGTTTTGAAACAAGTATATAATGATTTTACAATACTCGAAGCGCAGCAAGTTTCTCCATCAGGTGAGCCAACTATTACCATAAAAAGCGAATGTCTTATCGGTGCAGATACCGAACTTCGTCGCACAGGATCGATCAGCAACACCTGGCACTTTGATTTTGAAGGAAAAGATTATCGATGGAGACCAAGTGTTTTGGGTGCAAAGGATTGTGATCTTATTTGTGAGTGGATTGAATATGAAGTGCAACCATCTTTGATTGGATCAGCAAAGAAAAAGAATAAAGTGATTATAGCATCCCTAAAGAGACCTGAACAACTAACAAAAGATAATTGGGACGTTGTTGGCGATCTAACTATTACAAAAACTGCATGGGAAAATGTAAAAGAGCCGCGGTCATTAGAAATTATTTTGGTTCTTGGTTGTCTGATAATGCTGGATGTTTCCTAAATTGCATGAAAAAATTTATACATATATATTCGGTGGATAAAAAAATATGCATTTAGACATTACTTTTATCCATCAAATGTGCAGGACACGTTTTTTTATAAGATAGCTTATTTAATTTAAGTCTTTCTAGGTGATTTTGACAATAAATTAGCATAACTTCCGTGATTACTAACGCATAACAAATCCGATCACTATATCAAATTCACGGGGTTTATCGTTATCTATAGTGTTCAGGATTATAATTTGTGCATAATTTAGGCCATTTTACGCATAATATGATGTGCTAGGCTTTTTGCCCAATGAAATTGCTCGAATAGGATAAAAACTAGGGTTTGGACCGGGTTATTTTTCATAAGTTAAAGCCGTTTAATCAGTTTTAGCATATTAAAAAATCAAACCGGCTCCAAACTATGCATAGAACCAATAACTAATTACGGCACTTTAAATAATTTTCTTTTACAGTTTATATATATATATATATATATATATTGATTGATATACAAGATAAATAAATACATATTTAAAAAAAAGTTATGTAATAAGATATTATACGTATGTATAAAAATTATGAGAATTACTTTATATCGCTTGCGATCAACACCCGACAATAATGTAACATAAACAAAATATGCGATAGCACTTCATGATTAGGGTACAGTTAGGTTAGATTTAGGGTGTGTCTAAAATATAGCCTTTACGAAAATTTTGGAATTTTTTTTGCTAAGATTAAATTATTGGCAAACCCATCCTTTTTGATTCACGGGTCATTTTTTTTGATTCATCCATTTTTCATAAGGTTAGGTTATACGACATTCATTATGACACATATTACATATGTTACATGAACTTGCGTATTCGATTACCAATCAAATCATTAGATCGAACATATGGTATGAAAGAAGCAAAATTATCTTTTCTTCAATGAAATAAAAAAATGCTTACCTTGTAAAGTGTAATTAGGAAACAGTTTGCTAAATGAAGATAAAAAATGTTGTTGCGTTAAGTGAAAGATAAGAAGTTGATAGTTGAAATGTTGCATAATAGACATATAAAAGGTGTTATATGTTGAGTGAATTTGTTAAGTAAAGAAGGTTGATAGTTGAAATTTTGCATGGTAGACATATAAAAGATGTTATATGTTGAGTGAATTTGTTGAGTAAAGAAAGGTTGCCAGCATGTTGAGTAAAAAAAAAAGGCATTATTAATAAACTTTTTAAAGCTATATGTTAAAATAAAGAAATTGAAAACTTATCAATACTTTTGTTACAAAGCAGACAAAATAAGAAATGCTGTCAATATGTTGAATTAAAATAAAAAAAATTTTTTAGTAATCTATTTTATTACAAAGCAAGTGAAATAAAAGTACTACCAGTATGTTGAATTAAAAAAAAAAATTTGTTAATAACTATATATATTAAAATAGAGAAATTAAAAACTTATCTCTGGAGGCATCTTTAACAAATTAATAAAGATATGAGCAAAACCTCACCTTAATTCCAAAAAAAAAAAAAACTTATCAATATTTTTGTTATAGGACAAATGAAATAAAATTATAACAAGTATGTTGAATTAAAAAAAAACTATTATTAGTAATCTTTTTTTTTTATTAAGACTAATATTTATGACAACTATTATTTTTATTGTATTTTTTTTTGGTGTTAAGGTGAGGCCTTGCTCATATCTTTATTAGTAATTTTAGTTGTACATATTAATATACTATATACTAAGATATACTAAGATTGTAAACTACAAAATAAAAATTACATGCAAGAATTAAAGCTCAGACAGTTTTATCTGCGACCTAAACCGACTATGGTGGTCAAGGCCCATTATTTTTATTGTATTTTTAATTATAATTATATAACTTATATAAGATAAGCATGCAACTACATTAGCAAAATAAATATGCAAAATATTGTGAAAGATTTTGTATACTAAAAATCTTTTAAAATAACTATGATTGATATAAAATTATTTTAAAATAAAATATTTTTGCAAAATTACAAAAAAAACAAAATAATTTTGAAAGAATTTTAGTTATTTTATAAAATATTAAAAATTAATAAAACTAAAAAATAAAAATATATTTTGAAAATTATTTGAAATATTTAGAAAATATTTAAAATATTTTAAAAATTTCAAAAAAATTTTAAAATATTTTGAAAATTATAAAATAATTTTTTTTATAAATTTATTTTATTTTATTTGAAATATTGTTATTTATATATTTACATATTTTAATATATTTAATATAATTTTTTTATTGATCATTAACTAAGCAAATTTAATTATTTTTAATTTGTATTAACTTTATTTAATTGATTTATATATCAAATACAAATAAAAAATAAATAAAAATAAATAAAAATAAATAAAAAATAAAAAATATATTTATATAAAAATTTACAAATTTGTAAAAATTTTAAAAATATTTAAAAAGTTTTGAATAATTTAAAAACTTAAAAAAATATATTAGTAAATAAAACAAAAAACAAAAAAGTTTTATTTAAATATTTTTTTTTGATTTTACTAAGACTATTAGTTATTAGCAACTATTATTTTTATTATGAATTCAATTATAATTATATAACTTATACAAGATTACTTTTATACTACACTAGCAGATAGTACATAAGTTTCTATATATCTAATTAGATATTATTTAACCTAATCTTAATCTCCTTGTCTATATATTCATCAAGCTATTATATATTTTAGAATATGTTACTTGACTGTAAAGCTCTAGTGAACCCTTTTGTTAACTAATTATTCATATTTAATCTTTGCTAATAGGGCTTATTCTTGTAAAGTTCATCCAAACTCTAGTATTAACTTTACAACATATTTCTAATACTTAGTTATATCCTGCTTTAGATCTTAGACTTCTAATCTAGATAGTCTAAAAAAACTATGTCCTGTTCTTGATATCTTAAGAGTCTGCCCTTCCAAGATCCTTTTTTTCTGATTTAAGACTTTTGGTAGCTTAGTTGGTGATTCTCTTTATCTAAGATTCTTGTCTGCCTAATGCTTTCTACATTAGTATTTATTTTCTAAATCTAGTTTTTACAATAGTACTATTAAAGATCTGTGCTATCTTTTTATACAGATCTTTTTAAATAGACTCTGGCTTTTTAGTTCTACAAATTTATATAATCACAAGAACTTTTCTTGAGTTTGCACTACCCAATACTGATTTGCATTATTTTGTATAACTTCAATATTGTGCAAATGCCTTATAATCTGCTAGTTATATTGGTATAACTATAGTTATAGATATCTTATTTTAACTGATTAACAGAATGCTATCACCATAATATTACCTATATATTACATAAAAGATTATCCAAATTTTTGTTATCAGTAGATTTTGAACTTACTAGCTATTATTTAGAAGTTTGACAACTTATTTACTTTACTAAGTTGCTACATCTCTGTTCATTTAAATATTAAATTCTTGTATTCTAATTTATATATATTTAGCTAAAAAACAAGAAAAATTATTAAAAAATAATAAAAACAAAAAAAAAAATTTTACAATTCTTCTTTAATATCTTGATTTTTATCAAATAAATCTAAATTAAATATTAATAATATCAGTGAATAATTTTAAAATTATAAAAAATTGCAAAAATATTTGAAAAATAATAAAAATATATAAAATATTTAAAAATTTTAAGAATTATAGAAATATTTTTAAAATACTACAAATTATAACTATACATAAATTGTAATTTAACAATTATATCTTTTTTTAGTTTTTTATTTGTATAATAAATTTATTAATTATAATTAATATTAAAAATTAAAATAATACAAACTATTTCAAATTTTTATGAAATATTTTTACATTTATTGCAGCTAGCCAGGGTATTTTAAAAATATTTAGAAAGTTAAAATAAAAAAATATTTAATAAATTAAGAGTAGAGTACAACATTAATCATTTCTTTATATAATTTAGTTATAAATTTTTATCACTTTTTTTTATATTTAATTTTTTAAAAATTTATTAAGTAAATAAATTTTAATCTTTATATAAAAGTTGTAGAGTATGTCTTTCTGATTCTAATGATAATAAAATTATTAAAATTGGATAAAAACTCATTGAAATATGAGTTTTTAAACATTAGATTATAAAACTATAATAAAATTAATTTATAGATTTATGTAAATTAACTAATCAAATTATTCAATTTGTACTATTTAGATAAATTTTAATTAATTTAAACAAACTTTATCATATATACAGATATATTTTTTTAAAATAATATAATAGTTCAAAATTTTACTATAATAGATAAATAATTTTATTTATAATATTATAAA